GGCTTCAGTTCCTGCCTCTGACATTATGTTGTACTTTTTGGTTTTGGTTTTATGAGGCAGTTGGTGGTTAAGTGACTTGCCCAGGGTCACACAGCTGGTAAGTGTCAGGTGTCTGATCTGAGACTGGATTTGAACTCAGGTCTTCCTGACTCGAGGGCTGGTGTTCTACCCACTGCACCACCTAGCTGCCCCTCCTCTGGCACATTATGAACATATATCACCCAGGCACCTAACTTAGATGGTCAGTGCCTTGGGCAGCTCTAACTCTCTAAGACTATTCATTAACGGGGGAGTTTTCATGCAAGTCATCCATGCCTGCCCATCTTGTTGACTCTTGACACATCTTCCCAAAAGTTTGCCTGATGGGGTCCACCCAACCTGCTGGCAGTCTTCCTCTTTCTCTGATATTTTGTGGGCCCAGTGGAGCACCCTGTTGATCCACTTGTCATTCCTTACCCTTACTAGCTCTGGGCTTAGGTCGTTGTGCCTGTCCTAGACACGTGCACCGTCAGACAGACTCAATAAGCTGTCCATTCAGGTACATGATGAAATATGGGCAAATGTGGACAAAATCTGGGTAAATGGTAAACATGGACATTCTTTATCTATTTAGGCTTGCTTGTGTGGATGGACAGGCCAGCTCTTCTGAGTAATTCTAGATCTCTTCCAGGATGCAGTGCAATGTCTTGGTTCTTGATGTAGTCAGTACGGTGTCATCTGCAAAAAGCAGCTTCTGTAGGCTCTTGCTGTCCACAGGGAATCCCTCTTTTTAAGGAATTCTAAATGATCTCAACATACAGATGGGGAGATACCTTCTAAAAAGAGCCTGTAAAGTGGCATTTTGTGCTGCCGTGTCCAATTTTTTATATTAGCAAACAGTAAATAAAATGGGAGCTTACATTTATTCTCTACATCTGTCAGTTGATTATCAAGTGGTAAAGATATAGTCCATTGTTGAATATGGTTTGTGAAAGCATGCTCATTCCCTGCTAATACCCTTGTTGAGGATGAGCTCAGTTGATGTATAGATGACTCAAGAAGATTTTATATAATGTAATGAGGACAAGCTAGAAGCATTTCCAGTAAGATTGGGGGTGAAACAAGGATGTCCATTATCACCACTGTTGTTCAGTATCATACTGGAAATGTTAGCTTTAACAATAAGAGAAAAAAAAGAAATTGAAGGTATTAGAATAGGCAAAGAAGAAACAAAGCTATCACTCTTTGCAGATGATATGATGATATACTCAGAGAATCCTAGAAAATCAAGTAAAAAATATTTCTATATATTACCAACAAATCCCAACCACAATAGATTCCATTTAAAGTTACTGTAGACATAAAATATTTAAGAGTTTGCCTACCGAAACAAATCCAGGAACTGTATGAACACAGTTACAAAACACTTTCCGCACAAATACAGTCAGATCTAAATAATTGGAAGAACATCAGTTGCTCCTGGATAGGTTGAGCTAATATAATAAAAATGACAGTTCTGCCTAAACTAATTTACTTATTCAATGCCATACCAATCAAACTACCAAAAATTATTTTATAGAGTTAGAAAAAATAATAACAAGATTTCATTTGGAAGAACAAAGTTCCCGAATATCAAGGGAGCTAATGAGAAGAAGTGCAGGGGAAGGTGGCCTAGCCATTCCAGATCTTAAATTGTATTATAAAACAGCAATCATCAAAACTGCTTGGTACTGGCTAAGAAATAGAGTGGTGGATCAGTGGAATAGGTTAAGTATGCAAGACACAGTCAATGACTATAGTAATCTATTATTCGATAAACCCAAAGACCCCAGCTTCTGGTGTAAGAACTCACTCTTTGACAAAGACTGCTGGGAAAACTGGAAAAGAGTATGGCAGAAACTAGGCATAGACCAAAATCTCACACCATATACCAAAATAAAGTCAAAATAGGTTCATGATTTAGATATAAAGGCTGATACTGTAAGCAAACTAGGAGAGCAGATAATAGTTTACCTATTATATTTATGGAGAATGGAAGAATTCATGACCAAACAGGAGATAGTAAACATTATAAAATGCAAAATGGGTAACTTTGATTGCATTAAATTGAAAAGTTTTAGCACAAATAAAGCCAATGCAACCAAGATTAGAAGGAAAATAGAAAATTGGAAAAGAATTTTTGCAACCAGTCTCTGATGAGGGACTTATTTCTAAAATATATAGAAAATTAAGTCAAATTTATAAGAATACAAGTCATTCCCCAATTGATAAATGGTCAGATGATATGAACAGGCAGTTCTCAAATGAAGAAATTAAAGCCATCTGTAGTCATATGAAAAAATGCTTTAAATCACTTTTGATTAGAGAAATGCAAATCAAAACAACTCTGAGGTACCACATCACACTTATCAGATTGGCCAACGTGACAAAAGAGGAAAATGATAAATGTTGGAGAAGATGTGGGAAAATTGAACACTAATGCATTGTTAGTGGAGTTGTGAAATGATTTAACCATTTTGGAGAGCAATTTGGAACTGTGCACAAAGGGCTATAAAAATATGCATACTCTTTTGACCCAGCAATAGGACTTCTAGGTCTACATCCCAAAGAGATCATGCAAATGGGAAAAGGACCCACATATACAAAAATATTTATAGCAGCTCCTTTTGTGGTGGCAAAGAATTGAGAGGATGCCTATCAATTGGGGAATGGCTAAACAAGTTGTGGTATGTGAATGTAATGGAATATTATTGTGCTATAAGAAATGATGAACAGGCTGACTTCAGAAAAACCTGGAAAGACTTGTATGGTCTGATGCTGAGTGAAGTGAGCAGAACCAGGAGAATGTTGTACACAGTAACAGCCACGTTGTGCCATGATTAATTTTGATAAACTTAACCCTTCTTAGCAATACAAAGATCTAAGACATCTCCAAAGGCCTCATGATGGAAAATGTCATCCACATATGAAGAAAGAACTATGGAGTTTGAATGCAGATGGAAGCATATTATTTGCTATTGTTTTCTTCTCTTGTGTTTTGTTTCCTCTTTCTAGTGATTTCTGCTATTGGTTTTAATTCTTACTTACAACATCACCAATGTGAAAATATGTGTAATAGGAATGTATATGTGTAGCCTGTATCAGATTGCGTGCCGTTTTGGGAGGGAGGGAGAGGGAGAAAAAGTTAAAACTCAAAAGCCTATGGAAGTGATTGTTGATAATTCAAAATAAATTAATTTTTAAAAAAGATTTTATATAGGGGCACAGTGGATAGAGCACTGGCCCTGAAGTCAGAAGGATCTGAGTTCAAATCCTACCTCAGACCAAACACTTGACACTTACTAGCTGTGTGACCCTGGGCAAGTCACTTAACCCCAATTGCCTAAAAGCAAAAAAAAAAAAAAAGATTTTATATAAATGGTAGAGTAGGCATTACGTCAGTTGTTGATTTTTTTCTTTGGTGCCCCCCCCCTTTTTTAGAACTATAGTCCAAGAATTTTGTCATGTCCTTGATATCTTTCCCTCCTATGGATCTCTTGTAAATTGGTTCTTCCATGCCCTCATAATTGTACCACCTTAGCACAGCTCTCCTTTGTAAATACCAATTGCTTTTTCACATCTTTGTTCTCTTCTCTGTAGTGCCATTTCTACGTTGTCTATAAGCACTTCAGTGACTGTCATGTAGGTTCAAAGTATGGTGGGCCTGCTACCTTTGATGGGAGAAACAATTTATTGTAATGATTTCGTCACATTTTTCCATTTTTCTTCTGTTTGTAGTTTTTTCTGTTTTTTATCTTTGAACACCTTTGGGCTGAATTAGCTGAATTTGGATACTTCGTCAAGCTTTCTTTAGACTAGCTTTACTCACCACTGCTTTTTTCTTTATCAAATGATAGTAAGAGTTGTCCATCATCCTACTTCCTCAGTTTCCTTCATTTCTATTCTGATCCAGTGTTGCCTTTGGAGCCTTCTCTCTCTGTTTGACAAATTAGTTAAATGTTTGCTGATTAAGGTGTTGTCTGGACTCTTTTAGTCTCCTTGTTGTAGCAGTCAAAATGCATTGATTTAACTGCTGGATGAAATTTGTATAGTTGATATCAATGTGATTTCTGTTGCATCGTATTAATATCTAGTGCTCGGTTGTATTAATGAAAACTTGACAACTGTAATAAGTAAAATAATTTAAATTTTAATCACCCACCTTAGTTATACAGAAATTATTTGTCTGTTCTTACAAAAAATTAATAGAATCCCAGCTGACCGAAATGGTTTTCAGATGCATTTCAGAAGATTTTCAGTTTGCTGATACTTGTTTTTTTGTAATGTGAAAAGCAAAATTTACAATGTTATATATGAAAAAGAAGAAATTATTACAAAAATCCTTATTTTGAAAGAGATTCTATTTTCAAATGGTACTGAAAAGTTAATATTTAAATTCAGGGACTGTTAGCGTGTTTGGATAAAAATAAGCTTTTCATCTCTGTTTATAAGTGGTGCTGACTATTTAAACTAAAAATTATACAATTACACATGACTTTGCTGAAAGTTATTTTCACCTTTTCATTTTGATGTAATGTTTGTTTTTAAAAGAAAAAGTGATCTTTTATCTTTTGAAAATTATAAATATAATGCCTTAAATTTTGAAACATTGACTATATGTAAGAAATAAAAAATCTCCCCCCCAAAAAAGAGAAGAAATAGAACTCTCAATTGTGCACCCAGAAAGTCCTCCTTTGTGAGAAGTCCCCCTTTTTTATACTTGGTGGTCTTAAATTATACCTATTAAATTATATTACTATAAGAAAGGGATATGTATGTTTTAATATCACCTTATCTTCCTTCATATTTTGGGCATACTTTCTTTTGAATAGAGACATTAACAGTTTATTTCAAGTATATAAATGATAAGAAAGAAGAGGTGGAGGATAATTATATGGAAAGAAGAGTGATAAAGTAACTTGTGTAATACTGAAAACACTTTGAATGAGCTGAACACTAATTAAGTGTATATGTCTGTGCAGGTATCATTTGGCCACCTGGGATTCTGTGAAAGAGAGAAGGTGGTAGAAAATACTTCTGGAAAGAATACTGAAAGTGGTAGGCTGAGCCAAATTGTTTGTACATGGTTGTCAGCACGCTAACCAAGATGGATGCTTTTGCCAACATTTTTCCTCCTGGAGGAGCTACTGGGCTGACGAGTTCACAATCAGAGTTCCAAAAAATGTTAATTGATGAAAAATTGCGATGTGAACATCACAAAACTAATTACCAGACTTTGAAAGCTGAGCACACAAGGTAAATTACTTTTAATCCCCCCCCCTTTAATCTAAGTATTAAAAGTGGTTGCTAGAAGTTAATATTATTTTGTTGAAGATTAATATTTGTTCTGGAACTAATAGTAAAATTCTTTTACTTTCTAGAATAAGATATTTAGGTTTATTTTATTTTTAGTACTATCCTTTGTCTTTATGTCACATACATTTTCAGACATACCGCCCCAACCTGCCCCCCTTCCCCTTTATCCCATCAGACCAACCCTTATAACAAAGATTTGAAAAAAGAGAGAAAGAAGCAGGTCAGCAAAACTGACCACACTTTGACTATGTCTTATATTGTCTATAAAAATATACACTATTCCAAACCGTTAGTCACCCACCTTAGTTGAAAGGAAGGGGATTCATTTTTTTCAACTCTTCTTTTGAGCTAAGCTTGTACATTATAATCCTACAGCATTTAGTTGTTTTTATTCTTTCCATTTACATTGTTATAGTGCATATCTTCCTGGCTCTACTCACTTCACTCTGCATTGGTTTCTAGATGTCTTCCTGGGTTTTTCTGAATTCTTCACATTCATAGTTTCTGATGGCATGGTAATTACATTTATGTACCATGATTTGGCGGTTCCCTGGTCGATAGGTATTTACTTTGTTTCCATTTCTTTGCTACTACAAAAAGAGCTATAATTAATATTGTAGTGTCTATGGGATTGTTATCTCAGTTTTGAAAAAGATGGTACAGACATTTTGGTCACTTTCTTAGCATAATTCCAAATCGTTTTCTAGACTGATGAGACCAGTTTGTAGCTCCATCAGCTGTGTAGTAGTGTCCCTGTCTTTCCATTAGCACTTCTAGCACTGACTGTTTCCTTTGTCAGCTTTGCCAATTTGCCAGGTGGGCAGTAAACCTTTAAGATCCATTTTGATTTGCATTTTTCTAAATGGTAAGTGATTTGGTGGGGTCTTATGCAATCATTAAACATTTGCAATTCTTCTTTTAGTAGCTGTGAGTTCTCAGATTTTGACCGCTTATCCACTGGGGAATGGCTCTTGGCTTTCCATATTTCTGTTAATGCTGTATATATATATCTTGGATATCAGACCCCAGAGATATTTGATGCAGATTTTTTTTTCCTCACTTGAGTATTTTCTTCCTTATTCTTAGGTTAAGGTTTTTGGAAAGTTGTTTTGGGTTTGTTAAATAATGGCCCTTAACTATGTCTTTTACAAGATGATGTTTACTATGAAGATGTGTACTATCTTTTTTTTCTTTACTTTTTCTTGAAAAAAGTGAAGAAAAAATCTGTTTCAATACAGGTAATAATAATTACTTTCTTGAAGTGAATTTGCTTTAGAAATAATTATGGGGTTAGAAATTAAGTCAAACTGGATCAGTGGAATAGGTTAGGTACACAAGACAGAATAGTCAATGACTATAGTAATCTACTGTTTGATAAACCCGAAGACTCCAGCTTCTGGGATAAGAACTCACTATTTGACAAAAACTTCTGGGAAAACTGGAAAACTGTATGGTATAAACTAGGCATAGACCAACATCTTATACCATATACCAAAATAAAATCAAAATGGGTACGCGATTTAGACATAAAGGGTAAAACTATAAGCAGATTAAGAGAGCAAGGAATCATTTACCTGTCAGCTTTATGGAGAATAGAAGAATTTATGAGCAAACAAGAGACAGAGAACGTTATGAAATGCAAAATGGATAATTTTGATTACATTAAATTGAAAAGTTTTTGCACAAAGCCAATGCAGCCAAGATTAGAAGGGAAGCAGAAAGCTGGGAAACCGTTTTTACAGTCAGTGTCTCTGATAAAGGCTTCATTTCTAAAATATATAGAGAACTAAGTCAAATTTATAAGAATACAAGTCATTCCCCAATTGACAAATGGTCAAAGAATATGAATAGGCAGTTTTCAGATAAAGAAATTAAAGCCATCTATAGTCATATGAAAAAATGCCCTAAATCACTACTGATTAGAGAAATGCAAATGAAAACAACTCTGAGGTACCACTCACAACTATCAGGTTGGCCAACATGACAAAAGAGGAAAATGATAAATGTTGGAGAAGATGTGGAAAAATTGGGACACTAATGTATTGTTGGTGGAGTTATGAACTGATCCAGCCATTCTGGAGAGCAATTTGGAACTATGCCCAAAGAGATCATAAAACCATAAGGACCTACAGGGCCACATGTGGCTTTGAGGCCACAGTTTCCCCAATTCTGACTAAGACAATTCGAAAAGACTTATGATGGAAAATGCTATCCACATCCAGAGAAAAAACAATGGAATCTGAATGCAGCTTGAAACATACTATTTGACCCTTTGACCTAACAGTACCACTACCAGGTCTGTATCCCAAGGAGATCATTAAAATGGGGAAAGGACCCACCTATACAAAAATATTTATAGCAGCCTTTTCTGTGGTGGCAAAGAATTGGAAATTGAGGGCATGCCCATCAGCTTGGGAATGGCTGAACAAGTCGTGGTATATGAATGTAAAGGAATACTGTTCCATAAGAAATGATGAGCAGGTGGATTTCAGAAAAACCTGGAAGGACTTGAATAAACTGATGCTGAGTGAAGTGAGCAGAACCAGGAGAACGTTGTACACAGTAACAGCCACATTTGTGATGATTGACTTTGTTAAACTTAGCTCTTCTGAGCAATACAGTTGTCACAGGGATAGGGAACCTGCAGCCTCCAGGCCACATGTGGCCTTCTAGCTCCTTGGGTGCAGCCTTTTGACTGAGTCCAAGTTTTACAGAACAAATCCTTTTATCAAGGGGATTTGTTCTGTGAAGTTTGGATTCAGTCAAAGGGCTGTACTTAAGGACCTGCAGGGCCGCACATGGCCTTGAGGTCCCAGGTTCTGCAATCCTGACTAAGACAAGTCCAAAACACTCGTGATGGAAAATGCTACCCATATCCAGAGAACGAATTATGGAATCTGAATGCAGATTGAAGCATACTATTTGCTCTTTTTAAAATTTTTTTGTTTTCCTTCCTCGTGGTTTTTCCCTTTTATTCTGATTCTTCTTTCACAATATAACTAATGTGGAAATATGTTTATATGATCATACATGTATAGCCTATATCAGATTGCATATTGTCTTGGGGAGGGGAAGGAGGGGGAAAGATTTAGAACTCAAAATCTTATAAAAGTGAATGTTGAAAACTAAAAATAAATTAATTAAAAATAAAAAAGAAATTAAGTGAAACACAATAAAGAAAAAAATAGTTACCAGTTTAATGACTATTTCCTTTTTATCATTTTCATCTGTAATGTTGGTTTGGCTTAACATAAAACAATGCCATTGGAAAGCCAGTTACTTAACATTGACTCCCAAGTGTTTTCTCCTCCCTTTAAAAAAATCAGGTTACAGGATGAGTACATAAAGTCACAAAGTGAGCTCAAGCGACTCTTAAATGAAAAACTATCTCATCAGGAAAAATTTCAGCTGCTTCTTGCTGAACTAAGAGGGGAATTAGTAGAGAAGACTAAAGATTTAGAGGAATTGAAATTACAGGTGAGAAAAAACACATTTGAGATATCTGCTACAAATAGTTAATTTTTTCCTAAAAAGCAAAATGGTATATAAAAGTAGCATACATGCAATAGCTATGCAAATGTAATAATCTGTTTAAATTTTTTTTCATGGTATAATGGGTCTTGATTCTGCACTTGATTCACTTATACCTCTTTAGGCGGTGTAACTGAGACTTTAAAAAAATATTCTCCAAAATCATAGTTATAATATGAGGATGGTTATCAAATTAATATATTTTGTGAGTTACTCTCATGTAACTTGTTTCTTATTTGCCCAAACTTCTCAGGAGATGATGTGTGGCCAGTCAGTTGTTCTTTAATGTCAGGAAGACCTGTCTGTAAATCCTGTTAGTTACCTTTGTGACTATGGGCATCCCTCTCCCTCTGGTAGCTCTCATGAGGCTGCAAGTTACAAAATGACTTGTTCATGTGCATTTGTGGAAGGAGCTTCACCGGGCCTTCTCTGCATTTGTGAAATTACAGGTTTTTGCTAAAACAAAAACAAAATCCTCCCAAATGCAGAGAACAGCTGGTATGAATTAGTGAAAATTCTGAAGTATAAGTATTATGAAATAAATGAAGTTTTATTATTTTCTACTTGTAGATTAAGGGGAGCCAGGCAGAAAAAGATGAGCAAGTAGTTATCCTTTTGGGAACTACTTTAATGAATATATAAGAATAATTTATAATTTGTGTACAGATGATATACTAACTACTTTTCAAAAATTTTTGGAGACAATTGCTCTTTCTCTTCTATACTGTTCCTTTTTATAGCTTGTTTATATTATTTGTCTAGAAAATCTTTATTGTCATGTAAAGGGTAAACTATAGTGAGATCTTGTCTAAATTAGTATAAATGTCAAATTAGTGAGTCTATATTTTATTATACCTATTTAGTAGGACTACACCTATGCAGTTGAAACCTCAACTCTTTGCAGTTCAGTTCAACAATTTATGTGTATTGTATTGAATTGAATTTATTAAATTCTATCCATAAACAAATTACCTTTATATCCTTGATATTTTCAACTTTCCGTTTAAGTCAGTCCTCCCTTTAATAGAACCTGTCTTTCTTGAGGTTACCACCTCCATTACAACGTTCCACTGAAGGCCACTTCCCTGGACTAAGGAGAAACAGAGGGAGGAGTCGGCATATTCCTTCTTGTACCTCTTGATGATTGCAGATTATTTCTGTGTAACCTATATTCTCCTTAATAGCCATTTCTGTTTTGAAGTACTGATGTCTGTTCCTGCTGCCTTTTTTATGTCCTCATTGCTGACCTGTCTCATCTCTCTTTCTCTATAATGTTAGCACCTGGACTACAGTCTTTCCTTTCATCCTATCCCATAATCATCCTAGACTTGGAATTAGGAAGACCTGAGTTTGAACCAGACATAAATTCTTACTAGGTGTGGGACTCTTGGCAAGTCACTTAACCTTTTTTAGGCCTCAGTTTGCTCATCTGTAAAATGAGGATAAGAGCACTTATAGGATTGTAATGACCATCTTAAAGTGTTATATAAATATGAACTATTAATATCATAATTCAACATGTATTTTATAAGCATGTATTATGTGCCAGGCTCTGGGAAGATTCAGACACATAAATAAAATAGGTCCTGTACTCAAGGAGCTTCTGTTCTGTAGTACAGACAACACAGATACATGGAAATATATAAAAATACAGGGATCATCCTAGTCCCTATGCAATATGTATGCTTGTTTAATATAAAGGGATTGGAGCAGGAGTGCTAACAGCTGAGTGGATCAGGAAAATGAATGAAGAACCCGAGTTGTGCTTTGTCAGTCATCATGCATTTGATTAAATGTTTACTGTGCGTAAAGATCTGGGGATTCAAATAAAGGTAAAAAATAGTTCTTGCTCTTAAGCTCAAGGTCTAGTGGGTGAGACAACATTGAAACAAAAATGTACAGACAAGATACATCCAGGATAAATTAGAAATAATTAACAGAGGGAAGACATTAGTGTTAGGTCTTTTTGTAGAAGGTGGATTTTTAACTGTGACTTGAGAGAAGCCATGGAGGCCAATCATCAGATGAGGAGGGAGAGAATTCCAGGCATGGGGGACCAGAAGTGAAATTTTCCGTAGACAGTAAGCTAGTGTCACTGGAGTGCAGAGTACATGATGACCTGGCGAGGGTTTGGGGGTGGGGGGGTTAGGTTAGGAGAGGTACAGTGTAAAAAGATTGGAAAGGTTGGGAGGGAGCAGGTTATGAAGGGCTTCGAAGGCCAAACAGAAGAAGGGGATAGTGAGCCACTGGAGTTTATTGAATTACTTGAGGCAGGGAGAGCAACCAGAAAGCTGTTACAAGCTGTTAGGTGTTAGGTTAAGAGGACCTAAGCCAGGGTGACAGCAGTGTTGTAAGTGAGAAGGGGCCTAGTATGAGAGATGTCCCACAGATAAAATGGACAGAATTTGGTAACAGACTGGATATGGTGGGGTTGAGAGAGTGAGGAGAACACCTAGGTTGTGAGCCTAGATGACTGAGGACGGTGGAGCCCGCAGCAATAATAGGGAAGTTCAAAATAGGAAAGTTCTTTTGGGGGGAAATGACATGAGTTTAATTTGGGTGTGTTGAATTTAAGATGTCTACAAGACAGAAAATCCAGCATGTCCAATAGGAATTTAGAGATGAGAGTATGGAAGTAAGGGCTGGATAAGTAGGTTTGACATATCTCTGAGATAGCATAAAGATGATAATTGAGGAGCTTATGAGATCACCAAATGAAACAGTATTAAGGAAAAGAAGAAGAGGACCCTGGCCAGAGCCTTGGGGGACAATCACAATTATTGGACACAACCTGGATGAAGATCCAGCAAAGGAAAAGCAAAGGAGTGGGGGAGAAGTAGGAGAGACTAGTGTCATGAAAACCTAGAAGGAACAAGTGATTGACAGTGTCAGAGACTGCAGAGAGGTCAGGGACTACGAGTATTGAGAAAAAGCCATTGGGAACTTTGGAGAGAGCTGTTTCTGTTGAATGCTGAGGTCTGAGGCTACACTCCAGAAAGCTAAGAAGACAAAAGAAAATGGAGACACTTGTTTTTGACTATTGACTATGCCCTCTGAGAACCTGTACCCACAGTTCCTTAACTCTAATGATTTCCTTTTCTCATCCCGTGTCAGCCGTACATTGACTTGATCACACTTGGGATGTATCTCTAAGTTCTGAATTCCCTGCACTTAGACTAAAGCTACATTTCATCCTTATATTCACCCATCTCTGGATCTTTCTTCCAGGTTACTTCTCTTAGTAGATTTACTTTCCTCTACACTCAACATTGACTCCATAGTCTGTCACTTTAATACTTTACTAACCAGTGCCATCAAAGCCCTTGCCAGCTGATGGTCACTCTTCCTGACCAGCTAGTGCTTATCCATAGAAGGAGCAGTGACTCAAGACAGAGGACCTGGGTTCAAATGTTGCCACTGACAGTGTAATCAGACAATCTCTGGGCCTTAGTCTCTTTCCTTATCTCTAAAATGAGAGAGTTACAATATTTGACCTTAATATGCCTTCCTGCTCTAGATTTATGATTGTATGGTAAACTCAACACTCAGTTTTTCCATTCCTGTTCATAGGATGCCCAGTGTTACTCATGAAATTGAACTCTTTTCAACCACTTCAAATTTGGGTCTGTAACCTTGATTGGGTTCTCACAGCTCACTTCTCTTCTAAAGTTACTGATTCTTAAAATCATTCTTTTCTGTAGCTGTTGAAAATTCTTTTTCTCTCCCTTCCAACTCTCACCGGTTTTCCTGTTCCCTACTTTTGGTTTGGTCAGACATCAAAGACACCGAGGTCATCCATGGCATCATCCCTGGCCATTGCCAGTCATTTTGACTTTTGTCCTGCAACTGGACTTTGATGGAAGAGAGAGCGAGGCTGACAACTTTGTGCAGCTCTGCCTCACTTAAATCCAGTTCACACACATCCTATGATGTCATTGGTCCTCTTTGTAAACAAAGGGCCAACAAAAACAGAGCAACAGTAACCACGTCCTATTTGATTTCAGTTTTGCCATGTGTATTCAGACGTGTTCTGCCACTCTGTTCCTCCATTTCTCTAAACTGTTATACATCCTCATCCAGTCTTGCCTGCTTCTCTCTCTTCCCTGAAAGGGAAGCATTCCTAGTCTTTACTAAGGCTAATCCTTCTAACTTTGCTTGTGATCCCTTTCCTTCCTACTCTTTTAGCACCTTGCTCCATCAGTTTATTTTCTCTTTCCCGTGCGTATCCAGTCCCTTCATTGGCTCTTGTTTGTCTGCCTAAATACTTGCTTAGGTCTTCTCAATCTGGAAAACAAACAAACAAACAAACAAAATAACCTTTCCTTTGACTCTTCTATCCAATCTGACTATCATCTCATATCTCTCTTCACCTTTACTGCTAAACTTCTAGGAAGACTGTCTACACTCAGTGCCTCTACTCTCAACCTTTTACACTCTCTTCAGCTTGTTATAGTTTTGCTTCTCCCTGTCTTTCCCCTCCTGTCATATTTAACTCCTTGATTACCAAATCCAGAGACTCTTTTATTTTTCAATCACATATTGATTGTTTTTAAGATTTTATGCTATTGATTCCCCTTCCTTTTTGTTGGATATTTTTTATTTCTTTTTGTTAGAGATACCATATTTTTCTGGTTCACTTTCTACCTATCTCATTCTTCTTACTCCATCTTCTATGCTGATTTCACACCATCATTTTGACCTCTTATGGTGGTTGCTACCAAAAGTGTTGTCATTGGCCCTCTTCACTCTTTGTTCTTTTTCACTGTCATAGTTTTATCTACTACTTCTGTTCAGGTGAGTTGCAAATCTCCATGGTCAGAGCTAACCTCACTTAAGTGCTCCAGAGTTGCTTCTTCACATGCCAGTAAGAAGTCTTGCTGTGAATGTCTCACTATCACTTCAAAGTCACTGTGTCTGTAACGAAGCTTATTGTCCTTTCTCCTTAAACCTGTTCCATTTTCTGAGCTCAGTCTCAGGATGACACCATCATTTGAAACTTTGTGTTATCTTTGAATTGGCCCCTAATGCCCATGTTGTGCAATTTCTGGTTGGTTTTTCTCTTCTAATACTTTTCGTAGAACAATAGAGTTTAGAGCTGGAAGAGAATTTAGATGCCTTCCAATCCCATTCCCTTATTTTACAGACAAGAAACTGAAGCCCATAGAGATGAAGTGATTTCCCCAAATTCATACAAGTAGCAGAGACTTGATTTGAATCCTTGTCTTCTTGATTTCAAATCCAGTACTCTTTACACTGCTGCTTTTCAGAGTTACTTGTGTACTTTGCTTAGCTTTTCAGCTAGACCATAATCCTCTTGAAGGATGGAATTGTCTTGTAGCCAGTACCTACCCTTGTCCTGTTGGTATCTAGAGTAATCCTGTACTCATAGGCTCTCTGACCCCAAGACTGACACTTTTCTGTGGATGATTATAAACAGGTCAGGAATATCAGATTAAAATGGGACAAAAGGCTAGTACCTAGTTAAGTATTGAAGTACTTAATATGTATTTGTGAATGAATAAATGATGTCATTCTCAGTAGTAGTATTGAGAAGGGTGGGATTTTTCTCAATCAGTCAAGAAAATCAGCTTTTCTAGTTTGGTTGAAGTTACTGGTTTTGTCCAGGAGGCCAGGTTGCTGGTTATAACTGAATTTTCGTCAGAAAATAATGAAATATCAATTTCCCCGTTCACCATGGTAGCCTTTTTCCATGTCGTTCCCAGTAACTACTTGAACATCAGCGACTGGTTGTTATTAAGCCATGTCTGTTGAATTTTTGTCAGTTCTGAGTATGAAATTAGAGTGCCTAATGTACCATGTTGTCACATTTCCTTACTATTGATGCTGTGATTAGAGTAAAATTAGCAATACTATAACAACTTTTGTAGATCTAGTCCAACATATTTTATATAAAATGGGCTTACTCATACCGTATACATTTGAAAAGAGGGTACTTGACCCAGTAATTTTTTAATGATATATCCAGCCCTTATGATCCATGATTTGATAAATTTGAAATTTGGTAAGAACTTAATTTCAGTTTTCCTGACGTAATATTTAGGGCTTTTTCCATATGATAGGTATTGACGCCTCAGAAATTGGAATTGTTAAGAGCCCAAATACAACAAGAATTAGAAACTCCAATGAGAGAACGTTTTCGGAATCTAGATGAAGTAAGTAAACTGGCATCAAAACCCAGTTATTGTGATATGATGATGGATTACTGTGGAGAGCCGATTTCAGTACAGGGAGCTTGACTTCCACATAATTTAACAAAGTGGATATTCCTTTGAATATCCTTTAATGGTGACAAGAATTCAACCTGTCAGTGTAGATTTAATACTTAGAAAGAGCCTAAAGTCATTAAGAGCCAAGCCTGGCGAATAAGGTGAGTGATCGAGTTGGAAAAGATCTGTTTTGGTCCAAACGAAAATATGACTGGCGATTAATGACGTTCATTTTCTTGTCTAGCTTATAAACTGCCTCTACACCTGGAGGTTCTGATCCCCTTGGGGTTGTGTTTCTGGAGGTTTGCTCTCATTAATTCCTTTTCTCATTCATTTTTGAGTTGATGGCTCTCCTGAATCTCTGCTGCCTTATGACTCAGATTAGCTTGTTAATTCTAACAGCTAGCAATTTTCATAAAGTGTTAGGAGTATCTGACCAACCCAAATGCCTTATTAGGCACAGGGTTCAGCTGGATTTGAATGACTGCCTTTTCAGGGTGATGTGTTTAATTCAGTTAAACTATGTGATTTTTGCTAAACATTAAAATAGCCCTCATTACTTTTCATTCATTCTTTTCTACTTTCAGTAGAGTGTTACTATTTTTTTGATAATATTTTTGTTTGATCAAATTCATAACATTGCAGATATTTCTTATACATACTTATTTGAGAATAATCTACTATATTCTGAAGTAGTGTTTTATGAAGTTCAAAGATCAGAATGTTTGTATATGGGTGCATTCTGCTTTCTTATGAAAGCCAATCAAGGAAAAAACTTCCTGTTTTACTGAATATGCATCTTTCCAAAAATGTACCGAAAATGGAAAGTCTCATTCTTATTTTGTGTGGTAATCTTTGCTTTTTTATAGACTTTTTTTTTAGCATGCGTATGATGTCTGTATTGAATATCAAATAAATATTTTATCTATGTGTTTAAATTAACATTTTCTGTCTTCTAATTTAGGAGGTAGAGAAATACAGAGCTGAATATAACAAGCTTCGCTATGAACATACTTTTCTCAAATCAGAATTTGAACATCAGAAAGAGGAATATACGCGAATTTTAGAAGAAGAAAAAATAAAATATGAAGCTGAGGTAGGCATGCTTTACTGGTCATTTATTCAGTTCTTTAGTAATCTAATTATTTTGGAAAAAGCTAAGTTTTTTTCTGAGTGCCAAATTATACTTTTTCACATTTATCAAGTCAGTTTTGTATCCCTTGGATTTAATTCCTTTATATTTTGAAAAACACTGTTCTGTTAATTCATTAGATATTGTGTGTAGAAAGATTAAAATACTTCCATTTTTTGGTCCTTACTTCATTTGAAAATGTAAAAGCATAATTATTTCTTTTTAGTTAAGCAAATTCGGTTTCTGTTTCAACAGACATTAAGCACTTTGCCTCAGTTTTTTCATCGGTAAAATGAGCTAGAGAAGGAAATGGCAAACTGTTATAGGATCTAACCCCATATGGGTCATGAAGAGTTGGGCATGACTGTAAAACAACTGAATTAAATTCAAGATAACTGGTCGAGGTCCTGGGGGCATAAGTGAAATGATTTCTACTCTCCCTCCTAGGACCTTACATTGTATTGTGGAAATAAAATTGTAGTAGAAAATAATGAGAAAAATCCCCCAAATGAGATTTAGATAAGTACCATTTACTTTGATGAAGTTGGCTAATTCTTCATTAAAGAGCAGGTAAAGCAGCTGTCCCTTTTGATCTTTGACATCTTTTTTATTGCTGTCTTTTGGGGTGTTTTTCATTGTACTAGGAATGAGAGATTTAAAAAAAATTGGTCTTATTGTAAATTTAGTTCTTTTAAAAAAAGTTAAAGTGATACTTGTAAACTTTTTCCTCCAGAAATATACATTTACATGTTCAAAAACAATTCCTAATTTAGATGTATAAAAATAACAGTATGATCCCAGCAACAGATTGTTTCCTTTCTTAGAACCAGCCATCTTAGTACAGAGAGACTTATCCCCATTTACTGGCCATTAGGTGATTCTGTGGCCATTGCTACCCATATAAAAAATGCAAAATGAGTCGTGAGGCCTCTGTGGCCTCCCTTTATAAAAATAAAATTCATTTTTAAACTCTTCTTCCCCAAATTCCCTACTTCCCCTCCATTAAAAAATCCCAAACCAAAAACGAACTGAGTAGCACAATCTTTGTAACAGATACAGTTAAGCAAAGCAAATCTGTTTCTTTCTCTACCTTGATGCCATCAGCCCATGGGCAGTGTGCTTCTTTCTCAGTCCTCTGTGGTCATGATTATCTGTTGCATTGACCAGAGTTATTTAATCTTTCAAACTTGTTTTTCTTTGCAATGTTGTTACTCTTTGTGGGAAAAAAAAATTCTGAACCCTGGGTTTCAGACAGAAACACTGTGGAAACAGTTTTTAAAAAATTTATATTTTCCCTATTGTAGCATTTCTCCCCGTGTGTTGTGCTTGCCCTTTCTCTTGCTGTGGCTGAGGCCTGGGCTGCCTGGGTCTAGAAGCCAGCTTGCCTGGTGCTGGTCTGACCCTACAGCCTGCTGTGCTCTGGTGCTGTACTGACTGGGTGGCCTTGTCCTGTTGTGCTATCTGCTCTTTGGTCTGAACTTATCTCCTGCTCTGAGTCCACATGTACTTCGTTTGCTGGTTGCCTTGGCTTGTCTCCGTTCAGAACTTTTGCAGGATTCTGGCAGTCTTTTTGTATAGTCCTGGACAATGAATGTTGGAACTTATAGCTAGAGTCTCTGGTATTCTTTATCATTACTTCTGGTACATTTTTTAGTTTTCTTGGTGTTTTTGTGGGACATCTGTGCTTCTCTGGGTCATAACATGTACTATCTTCCCACAATTTCTTTTTAATCCCTTCTACTTCCCTTTTCAATTTTATTGGTGAGTTCATCCCACTCAGTTCACAGTAATGATCTATTGGGTATTTCCCTCCACCCTAGCTTCTTAGACCTTTTCTTCTTATTGTCTCTTGTCCAAATTCTAATCACAGGTTTTTACTCTCTTTCCTTTTACTCTCCCCTTCATGATCCACTCTTAAAAGTTGAATTTGTTTTGCTTGAGGCTAATCTTTCCTTTATTTTACTCTCTCTTAAATACCCTCTCACCCTGTTTCTTCAATTTGATTATTTTTAAACCATATTCTTGTTGTGTATGTGTGTTTGTTAGAGTGCATATATGTAGGTGTGAGCCTCCGTGCTCAGTTCTCATGAAAGTGAGATTCTTGTGACCCGTGTTTCCTTTACCTCTTCCTTCATGTATATAGTTTTTTTTATCATGAACTTTTAATATGTGAAATAATAAGTTCTACCCCTTTCTCCTCCTTTTTTCCCAAGTGTCTTCATTTCCTCTTCCTTTTTATTTCTTCACTTAAGATCATCAAAATAGAAGAAAACCACTTTTAGGCTTTCTGTCTTATTTAAACTCCCGCTATGACCCTTGAAGGAAATTAATGTTCTGAGAGCAAATGCTTATTTCTCTTCTGCCATTAGATTATGAACCCTTCCTTATTTTATAGTCCCTTTCATTTGCTTCAAAGTCATTACCTTTCTAGATGTCTGTGTTTCAGAGATTCTTTGAAGTTTTGATATTTTTCATCAGGAATGCTTCAAATTCCTCTGTTTGATTAAAGGTCCATTTTTTTCCCTTTTAGAAGACCATGTTCCAAGCTGTCCTGTGCGTTATAGTGGTAACTGCCAAGGCTTGTGTGCTATTAATTGTTCTTTGGTCCCTGAACTCCTTCTGTCTTCCTGAATTATTATTTCTTTGATCTGAAAGTTTCCTCATCCCAAAGGGCATGTCAGGGTTTTGGCTATGATTTTCATGGGAATTTTTCATTTTAGAGTTTCTTTCAGCAGGTGATTGATGGAGTACATTTTCACTTTGCCCTCTGGTTCTGTCAGGTCTGAGCAGTTTTCATTTGTAATACCTTACAGTACTGTATCCAAACTTCTCTTTTTGGCTGTGGTTTTCTGGTAGTCTGGTGATTCTTTTTTTAGTCTGCTGATTTCTTGTTTTACTGTTGGTGTCTGTTTGTGGTATTCATATTTTGAATTTTCCTTCCTGAATTGAGATGTCTTATCAGGGCCAGGCTTCTCCTATTCCTACACTCTTGGTTAGGATGGCGATCTGCTGTTTGTTCTCAGTTTTTATTATCTAGTCCTCCCCTGTTCTGGTGTCTGCTGTGCCAAATATTCTGGCAAGTCCAAGGATCCCTTGGACACAGAGTGCTGAGCTCTTTACGGTTGTCAAAGGAGGCTCGGTTCTTCAGCTTTAAGCTTCCAGAGCATTGAAGCTCTGCAAACTGATCACTTTCTTTCCCTCCTGGGTGCTGAACTGCCCATGGGGCTTTAGTGACTGTGCCAGTCAGCTACATGATCCTTAATGTGCAGTTCTCCCACCTCTAGCAGAGATCCCTCCTTGTGCCCAAAGGTTTCTAAGTGTCTCCTTTTGCTGACCCAAGCTAGACAAAGATACTCACTATAGTTCCTAATCATTATTTGATCTGGTGCTCCATTGTTTTATATTTTCCTGGAGTACCTGTGTGGAAATTGAGCTACTCTGCTACTGATCACTTCCTCATCTTGACCTCAAGACTTCACGCACTTTCTTTTTGAAGAAAATACTCATGACATGACTCACAAGGTTCTGACTATGGAAGATACTGATTACCAGTACAGAGAATCAAACTGACCATATCTTGACAGGTTAAGGTGACTGATTAATGATGTATGAAAGTCATTTATAAATCAGGTAGACCATTGACTTGTTGGAGCAGAGTTTAAAATCAGTGCTAAATAAGAAGAAAAAAAATGTGAAAATAGGATGCAATTATGAAATTATGATATTTCTCTCCAGCAGTTTTGACATTTCTATCCAGATTTGTTTCAACTAATTACTGAAATTTAACAATAGAAAATAATTCAAAGAATAGACATTGACATTGACAATCACTGTTTATTACTCAACTGATTACTACCATATTGAAGAGGCCAGAAGGCTCAGGGATTCTTAATCTTTTTTTGTTTTAAACACCTTTGGCAATCTGGTGACCCTTCTCAAAATATTTTTAAATGCATAAAATAAAATGCATTGTATTTCAAAGGAAACCAATTGTGTTGAAATACAGTAATCAAAATATTTTTTAAAAGAAGTTTATCCATATTAAGAAACCCAGCTCTAAATAGTATTAGCAAACACTTGATCTCCTTTGTCAAGCAGAGGGAGATGTCAGCCAGTGGTATTACTAGTTTAGGATGTAAACCCTTTTGTAAGATGATACGGGTGAAGTCTGGGGAAGACCTCCGTCACTGAGTAAAGTGAAGCAAGCAAAAGTAGGAGAGCGGTTTATATGCTGACTCTCATATTGTGAAGAGCAGCAACTCAGACCAATGCCACAGTCAGTCATACCTCGAAGAGACTGATGATCAGCTTCTTGGCACAGATGGATTGTGGGTGCAGAATAAGATGTACATTTTCAAATGATACTGATGCAGCACAATTTTTTTTTTGCTTGACTGTACTTATTTATTACAAGGGAGGGCTTTTACTGGGGGAGAAGAATGTTGTTGGAGAATACAGGGGGTAATGATAATGGTACAAAAAAAAAGAAAGCATCAATTAAACGTAAAATATTCAGAAGAGAGCAGAATGAAATTCAGAAGGAGACACAGATGAGGAGGGCAACATTAGTTCTAATGTGTTATGGTGGAGAGATATATATATATATATATATATGGGGTTTTTTGTGAGGTAGTCAGGGTTAATGACTTGCCCAGGGTCACACAGTTAGTGAGTGTCAAGGGTTTGAGGTCATATTTGAACTCAGGTCCTCTTGACTTCAAGGCTGGAGCTCTATCCACTGTACCTCCTAGCTGCCCTGATATGTATTTTTTTTTTAAAACTAACTGTACATAGCATATTCATGATTTCATACATTATCCTCTGTTTCTGTCCTTTTTACGTTATGGAAATCATGATGTTGTGGGCCAGTCTAATCTAGGCTAGTCTAATAATTCAAGTTCAAGGTTTAAACTGTAGTAATGTGTATCATAAGATGTAATTAAAACCAACTTTGTTAGTAGGAA